GCTCCTGTGGCTATGCAGGACAGATGGGGAGATAGCTAACCACCAGATTGCAAGAATACAAAGTGAATGGTCAGACAAGGCAACCCAAACTCATTGATAGCCTCCAATTGCAATGTACAAGGACATACATTAATTTTGCAGCTACTACGATTGTATTGTAAGATTGTATTCTATGAGAGCTTAATGTCAGTTCCACCGGGTAGGTTAGACTAGGAAACCAACTCCATAGGAAGGCTATAATTACTTTTACTGAAAGTGTCTACAAAACCAGAATCTGCCTTCTTTTTATATTCTTGAGAATTAGGGAGGTGTCTCTGTGAGCTCCTTCTGAACACTTTGTTGTAGATTTAAAATGCATCTTCCCTCACTGCTTCAGTAATGGAGCTTCCATTATCTCCATCTTAGTTACTCATCTCATTCAAGATCCATTACAACAAGAGCAACCAATACAGTGTCAGAGGCAAACCCAGGACTGAATACGAACTAGCCCTATACAATTCTGTCCCACCACCTTTACCCCAAAAGAAACACACCAGAATTACTCTGGATAACAGCTGGTCTCTTGCAGAAAGGTGGCATTGCCCTCATTAACAAAGAACAGTTCACCAAAGCTTCAACTTGCTACTTCTGTGACAATTTTGACAAAGTGGGTAGGAAGAGATTTAGTCCATGGTGGCAGAACTAAAACCTATTTTCTTTAACAGTAAGTTTGAATCAAAATCAGAAGACTCTACAAAAAATCATACTGTCAACATATTTTGACCAGCCAACTTTTAGCCCTAAAATTAGAATTAATTCTAAACAATCTATGGATGAAATTACTGCAGAAACATATTGATATTCTGCCACTCTTACTACTTCTGTGAAGGTGTAAAGCTCTTAATTATGCCCAGTCATATATATTTTGGGTTTATGGTCAGCAATACTGTCTTTCTTCTATCACCTCATCTCATTAAATCAAGGCAATCTCTGAATGTCCAAATGGTGAGAGCTTACCGGGTTTTGCAAACAGAAATATTATCCCTATTACTCCAGTTTGGGTACCATGAGCCAGATGTATTCTCTCATCTGTTATGGATGATCGTACTATAGATTTATTTTAGATCTTGCATTTAGTAACTCTAGCCACAGCCCAAGATTCCAAATAGGCATCCTGTATGTAAGACAAGGTAATAGGGTCTGAAGGGTCAAACCATCAAGATTGCTTCCTCAACTGCCACCATATTATTTATTTCTCTCCACCCTTCACCATCTCAATTCTATTTCTCTCCATTCCACTCTCTTCAACCAGTGCAGTTCCATAACCTCTAGGGCTACATGGACCTTAATACAATCTCTTTGTGGCTGCTTCCAACAGTCAGTCAGTATCCACTGCACTACTAATCATTCTGTCTCCCCTGATATATCCACCTCCATATTTCTTCTCCCTAACTCTTAATTTTGCTTTCCTGGAGTTTAAAGGGAACATGTACTAACTCTCTAGGCAGTGGTGGTATTCAAATTTTTTACTACCAGTTCTGTGGGCATGGCTTGGTGGGCATGGTGTAGCTTTATGGGTGTGGCATGGCTTGGTGGGCTGGCAGGGGAAGGATATACTGCAAAATCTCCATTTCCACCCCACTCCAGGGGAAGGATACTGTAAAATCCCCATTCCCTCCCCACCCACTAACCTGCTTTCCACTTCTGTTCTCCTGTGCAGGGCAACAAAAGAAGACCCAGCTGATCAGCTAAGACTTGGGAGGCAGAGAATAGATGGGGGTGCGGCCAACTAGAGGTATTTACCAGTTCTTCAAGCTACTCAAAATTTCCACTACAGATTCTCCAGAACCTGTCAGAACTGGCTGAATACTACCCGTGACTCTAGCAGAAAGCATATAGTCATTCCTGTTCCCTCATCTGATGAATGACTGTTCCAATTTCCCTTCCAATCCTTCTTTTAAATCTCTTGAGATTTGACTGTGGCAATCCAACCTGCTTTCCAACAAATAACCCACAAAATTCTCAGACTTGGGCTGATCCAAACCCATCTCTGTCATTTTGTGACAAATAAGTGGCACATGACTCTTCTCAAAATTTATAATGCAGTTCCTCAAGTCAAATAGCTGCTCATTTTCACTGTTGAGACTTGGACTTGATGGTAGCTCATAGTTCCAAGTGGTGGCAGTCTGTCTAAGCATGGCATTAGCTACAACGCAAGATACTTTACTGAACATGATATTGGCTCTCCCGTACCATATCTGCTACCCATGAAGACATCACTATAAAACATACCTGATGATTCTCAAATTGTCACAGCCTCTGCTCACAAGCACCCTAAAGCCCCACAGGGCTCCCCACTTGATCAGATTCTCAACCTCTCTGTTCATTCTCATGCTGTATTCCATCACTGCTTCTTTCCATATTTTTTTACAGTTCTTCTGCTGACCATTCTACACAACACCAAAGTTCTAAAAACTACCCATACTACTTTCATTCTCACTTCTTAGATTCTCTTTCAATTGCTTCTAGAACATAAAAAAATCTGGTTTACCATGCCATAAACAGCCGTTTTATGGCTAAATACTTTTCCAGGTTGACTGAGAGCCTTTGCTATTGATTGTTTTAAACTTTAAATAACAATTAAAAAATTAAACAGTTCTGAAAGCTTCTTCTTTGAAATTACACACACACACACACACACACACACACTGTTTCCCCTAGCCCAATTTTCATGCCTGAGCCTAATATAAGCCAAATCCTCAAATCACCCCAATGGTGCCACTTGTGGCAGGACGCCACATGGCTCATTGCTCTGATGCTGCTGCTGACGCGTGCAATGGCACAACACACTATGCACCTCCTGCCATGAGCAGTGGCAGTGGCGCGATGAGCCATGTGGCCGCAGAAGAAGTTAGACAGCGGCATAACAGGTGTCAGAATATGGGAGATGTGGCTGTGGTAGTCCCAAGGTAAGTGGGTAAGACATCCCCTGAAAATAAGACCTGGTATTTATTTTGGAACCCAAAAGACCAGGTCTTATTTTTGAAGAAACACAGCACACACAGCACACATTTCCAACCCTCTCTGGAAGACAATTTACCAACCAAGTGGTGTTATTTCACCCTCTTGTGGTAGATCCAGGCATGATTTCATTTTTAAGTCTTGAACAGCATGGTATTGTTAACGACACAAAACTTCTATACTGTGGCTTATTTAAGGTTTCCAAGTTTTTTATATACATCCCAATTAAAGGATATGAAAAGTTTATTGGCTCAGAGTACATTTTAAGTAATTTAAAATCTTAGTCTTCTAAGCCGTTTCAAAGTAATTATATGGAAATTAAAATATTGGTTTAGAACAAATCTCTTCAGAAAAATCTCACTGGTAAGAAGCATGAAGTGTAGAAGGCAGGAATTTGCATGAAATTGATTCCCCCGCACTGCTTTTTTCTCCCTACTGATTTTTGCACTCTAAGTGTATGGTCACAAGGTTTTTAATGTGAACAAAAGGTCTTGATTCATATGAATGGCCACCTTCAATTTGCTGCCTAAGTGCTATTTTTAGGGTTCTGCAACCACCAAAACATTGACAGCAATGGGTCTTTTAATTCTGATTGGAGGGGAGATGATCACTGTCCCATTCTAATTTTCTTAAGTAATGTATCTGAGGGCTAGAGCTATTCTCTTCAGCTAAACTCCTGAGCATATTTTCCTGCAGAGTGTGTCTTATTTTCTATTCTACCAAAGGGATACAGGCATGAAAGGTAATTTCTTAAAATATTCATGAGCCACTGTACAATAGAAGTGGCTTGCCAAATTAGATGGAAAATGTGTCAGATATTAATCTAGGGAGCAGGACAGATAGCAGTGTTATAGGGCAAAAAACAGTGTACAGAAGCTAGTGTGCTACTTCAGCAAAAGTCAGAGAACGTGAATTGACAAATAAGTTGATTAAATGGTAAAGGAACGCTAAAGTAGCATGTTTTTTGGGGGGGGACACTGTAGTGGTATAACATGAAGGCATATGATCATGAATGGTTTTGGATTGATAATTAATGATTTAGCAAATGGAGGGGTCATAACATTTAACAATGGCAATAGTATCAAAAAACTTAATTGAAGATATAGATTTTTTACACTGAATAATGTATTTATTTGGCAAATAACTACTCTACTGCATTCTCCCTCCACTGAAGCACGATCTGTAAAGTAGCAATGTAGATATCCAGAAGTGGTCAGCGCATTAATTTCCAATTTTTAATGAGGTGGGAACCAATCTATAGTTTTCCAATGCAACATAACAAATTATTAATGCACCTTCTAGAATCTAATCTAGTTGGAAAAATTACAAAAATAAGCATAGAAGAGACATTGTATTCCTTTCATCTAAGAAGGAATGCCAAGATTAGAAAGCTCAAAGATTTCTTTGTGATGCTGCCATAGCATTCTGGGCATCCTATTTTGCCCAGCTGTTTTTTTCCCCTTCCTGACTATGTGAGGAGTCAAAAGATTCTTATCCAATTCAAATCGTTAAGATGTTCCTGGGTGTGCAGAATGAGCAGCTGGCATCTAAACCCACCAAACTGTTGCCTTAGGAATGAATGCTCAAGTGAGGATTTCAGGCGTCCTTGGCACGTTTCTTTTTCCGAAGGAAGGGCATGAACGCTCCCGCAGAGAATATTCACAACCACGGAAAAGACCCTTTCGGCCGCTAACCCCTTATTTCACAATGTGGAAACATCCTGGTCCACCGCCTTCCAGATGTTCAGCTCCTGTGGGACCATCTACAACCGCGGCTGGCTTTCCTGGACCGGCGGTCAGGCCTGCCTTTCGGCCGCTCTCTCTCGAGGCCACGATCCTCCTTCTCGGCCCGATCTGTCAGTTCTCCGGCGGGCAGACACTCCCTTAACACACGCGCGCGTACACACGGTCACCCGCCCACCCGGGCCGCACTCGGAAAGCGAGGCAGCTCCTCCACCTGGCTTTTTCCCACCCGCTCGCCTTTCCCGTCGGTTCACCCACCCTGCAGGGACCATCGGCGAAGAAGACGGCCAACGGCAGGTTACAGGCGATCAGGGCATGGGGCAGGTCGTGCAGCGAGACCGTCTCCATGTCGATGAAGTTCCAATCCGAATCCACCTCCACCGCCGCTTCCACCTCCTGCTCCGCCGCCTTTTCGTCGCTTTCGGGCTGCGTCTCGCCAACGGCGGCGGCGGCGGCGGCGGCAGCTGTTGCCTTTGCGTCTTCTGAGGTTGCCGCAGCCCTCCTCTCGCCTTGCTCGCCGCCTTCCTCGTACGGCTTCTGCTGCTCTTCCCAGCCGCCCCCCCGATCCTCCATGCCGAGGGGCGGGGAGGAGTTAGAGGGTGGCAACACACGCGTTCGGGCTGGGCCCAGCTGAAGTAGGAAGAAACATGGATTAGCTTCGTCGCCGCCCTCCCGAAAATTAACCCCCTCGGCCCCTGAGGTGACGTCAAGGCCTGTCCCGAGCCAATCAAACTCCTCGACTCCACTTCAACAGATCACCTATCGTGAGGCGTCTCGGCTCCACAACAACCATTTTAGCTGAGGGCACTGCCCGCTTTGCTTCTCCGCCCCTTTCTCGGTTCCTTCCTTTGCGAAGAGCGTAGCATTGGTCTCCCGCGCCCTGCACCGACCATCTCCTTCGCTTTCGTTGGATAGACGCAGTAATTTCGAGCCCCGAAGGCTTTTTTTAGATGAATGAGAAAGGCGTTTTCTAGCCCATGTAGGCCATATGATTGAGGCTTAAGGCTGCATTTAAGTTATTTATCTAGTTCTTAAGCTAACGAGATCGAGACAGCCATTCAAACATTTCCCATATACTGTAAGGCTGTTTTCAAACGTTGGTCATTGCCTGAAAAATACACCTATAAAGATAAAACATCCTTCTCGGGGTGCTGTATATTAAGTTCACTACCATAGCTTTTTGTAAAGATACTCCGTTACAATGACTAGACTTCAGTCCTTATCCTCACTCATTTGGGAGCAGCTGCTTAGCACATGGTTCTCGACCTTTTCTTCAACTACTGACCCCCTCTAAATACCTTTTGTGGCCACAGACCATGGCCACGGACTCCCAAGACTTAAGTCAAGATTTAAACCATAACATTTCTTCAAGTCTTTGCAGACTCCACCTCCCCCAGGTTGACACTGCGGACCACAGGTTGAGAATCACTGGCTTAGCACAAAGAGGGTAGTGTTTCCACCAAATTTTGGCTGACATATTTGTATCTTACCTTATTTTGCATCCCCTTTTTTGTATTCCCACAACAATGACTATGTGAGGTGTTTAATAGCTAAGAGCCAAGTCATTTGGCCAGTGAGTTTCCTTGGCAGAGGGTTGATCTGAATCTGGGTGTCCCAGGTCATAATCCATAAGGACTGCATCATAGTCCCTATGTCTATGGAGATCCTCAATTATCTAGGTCAAGGGTCTTCAAACTTGGCAAGTTTAAGACTTGTGGACTTCAACTCCCAAAATTCCTGAGCTAACATGACTGGAGGAGGAATTCTGGGAGTTGAAGTCCACAAGTCTTAAAGCTGTCAAGTTTGAAGACCCCTGATCTAGGTCATAGTTGTCCCAAAGGCGTTTTTCCAAAAGGCAACTGGACTTTTTTGTTTGTCTTTTTCCTTGAAAATACTTTGCTTCTCATCCAAGAAGGTTCATCAGATCAGATCATCAAGACCAAGAAAGTCCAGTTGCCTTTTGGAAAGCACCTTTGGGACATAGTTTCTGTGACCATCAGAAGGGTAGGGAGAAGGGGGCTTCCAGTTTGAAGTCTCTTCAGCGACAGACAGAAATCCGCGATCATGTGCGGTTTCGGTCTGGGCTCGCTGCTGGAGCGCCCCGAGACAGCTGGTTTGGGGGCTAAGCCACCCCGTAGAGGTGGTGAAGAAGGGGGAGACTGCCTGCAGGGTTGAGGAGAGCTGCATCTCTCCTCCTCAGCTGGCCATTACTCCCTTTCCCGAAGGCGGTTGCAGCGGTGGTCAGAAATGGCCACCTCAAAGAAGAACTTGACCAGAAAAGAATGTGCAGGAGGAAGATAAGAAGTGAAAGTTTTGGCTGATCAGGTTAAATTGTAAAAGCAACAACTAAGGTACCCTGGAATCTAAACTTACAAAAAAATGACATCGCTCCCAAAGAAGAGTCGGAAGCAGTGAAGGAAAGTGAAAAGGGGAAAGGTTTGGGGTTTTTTCCTTCTCTCTCCTTCCCTATACTGACAACTAAGAGACTTAAATAAGAAATTGGAAAAATCCACTTTGACATTAACAGGCAATTGAGCTGAAAATAAAACAAAATGTCAAAGGGATAACAAAGATTTCTGGACACTAAAAAATTTTTTCATAAGCAGGAAGGGAGAGAAAAAGAATAAGGGCAGGATCTGGAAGAGCTAGGAGACTGCCTGGAATTAAAAAGAATCTACAGTAAAACTTCAACAAGACTTCTAAAAGATACATTTTAACTGAAACTTTGTAACTAAACAGTAGAACCCCACAAAGAGAAAGTGGAAAAAAAGGAGCAAAAAAGAAACAGCTTGTGTGTATTTGGATTATTTGGTGATCTTTGGATTTTTGGTTATTACATTTGAATGACTAAAATTAATCGGGTGGTTGTTTAAAAATTTATACAATGGCACCACTTCTGGATGAATTGAAAATGGAACTTAAAAAGTACAAAGAAGATGCACAAGAAGGGAGAGGTTCTTTTGGCTTTGTTTTTCAATTCTTAGAAATGGAGATTTGGAACTATGAGAAACGACAAGAAAAGACTGCAAAACAAGAAGACTGGGACCAAGAAGAAGCCATCCTTAATGAACAAGTAATTCTATGTGGGGAAGAAAAAGGAAAGGGGGGAAAGAGAATGGAGAATTTAAGACTTAAAAAAACAACCAAAGAAAAGAAAAATAATTCGAAAAATAAGTATAATACTGGAAAGCAACAGAAAAAGGGAATACAGAAGAGAGAAATAGAGGTAGAGAGACAAGGGTGTAAAAAGGGGAGAGAGAAGAAGAGAGGGAAGAAGGAAAGGATAAGTTACAAAGGACCGGAGAAAGATATAGAGAAACAGGACCTATTTAGAGATAATGGGTGAAAATCTAACTGTAAAAGGGATTCTGTAAAGGTACATAAGATTGTATTGTTATAATAGTAACAGAAATAACTTTAGAAAATTGGAAACAATGTATGATCAAAATGAGGAATAAAATAGTGTAATTTAGTGAAATGTTTGTTAATAAAATAAGTGAAATAAAATAAATGAGAAAATGAAATTAGGAAGGAACGGGAACGTGTTAATTAGTTAATGTTTTATAAAATATAAGTGAGGGGGGATTAATTATGGAAAGTTTATAATTGTCCCCATAGAAGTATGATATTTAATTGAAAAGTAATGTTAAAGAAGTTAAGATTTTAATGAACATTAATATTAATGATAGAATTGAATTGGAATGGAATGTTTTGTTTTAATTACATATATTTATAGTTTTTTTTTTTAAAGAATATAGTGTGTATTTTAAGAATGTACCAAGCAGAATCCGAATGGAAGTTATGTATTATATTGAATGTTATAACTTTAGGGTATATATTGAAGCTTAAATAAGAGTTAAATGGATAAACTTAAAAGATATAAAGGCGTCATACTCCAGTCAGTAACTACAGGAGAAATTTTGTTTAATGAGAAAAGATAATAGATAATTGAAATAGGAAAGACAAAAAATATAAATATGATTTGAATTGAACTGAGATGAGATAATTAAAATAAAATTGAGAAAATTAAAAGAGGGGAGAAGCTATGCAGAAAATGTAAAACAGTAATAAGGTATGAAATAGAACATAAAAATGAGTATGAAGTAGAATTTGTGTCTGTACGAAGAAATGTAACCCGGGATTATGCTACTTTCAAAAAAGATGTTTTATTTGTTTTTGGTTTTTTTGTGAAAACTCAAATAAAATTTACAAAAAAAGGGGGGGGGGTAGGGAGGAGGGAATAATGGCAGCCAGTCTGAATAGATTTAAGGCATAGATGTTTTTTTTAAATTAGATGGAATAAAAATAAGGCACATGTAGTTAAATCCATGGTTACAAATGATGAAATCTAGGTATCTGAGGCAGTAAGCCTCCTTAGCGGTTGCTAGGGAACAAGCATGGAACGCTGATGACAGCCTGACTACTCTGGAAACTAAATGCCCACCAGTTTTTATGTACCTATAATGGAAGAAGGCACCTGTGAATTATATTGAAGTCTATATGCTGACATAAACATGTCCCTCCCAACTCAAGATTCCACATTCAGGCATTTATTGCATAAAAAGCTACCAGAGGCAGCAAATGTGTTTTATCATAATCTGCCTCAGGTAAACAGGGATACTTTTTTTGTTTTTTTGTTTAAAGCAGGGATATGAAGCCTACAAATTGAAGCAATCAAGTTTGTTTATTTAGTGAGATTTCTAACTACTTTTCTCAAAGAGCTCCCTTCCCTTCAACCCTGCAACAGCAGAGTGAACTGGATTGGGATAAGAAAGAATGATTAGCCTCCAGTCATCAATTATATATGATACAGTTCTAGACTTTTTAAAAAAAGAAATCATGGGAATGCAACGTTCAAGATAAGCATGCTTATGTGATACAGAATGAAAACTGAAGAATGAAGCAACAACAGAAACTCAATATTTTGTTTTTTTTCTAGACATCAAATATTTATTTACATCTGAAACCTCATTCTGACTATTTTCTTCCGATAAATCATTGTATTAGTATTTCTGGACTAATATTTAGGTAAGCATCCTGGGCAAAGGTATTTCCAAGATATCTGTGGGAGATGTGATCACCAAATCCGAAATTGAGACTTTTCTTAATTCAGAATAATATGTACTACATTTATTAGATACTAATGCCAAAGGAATATTGATCCTTCTGGGATATTGATCCTTCTAGACATAAATATAATTATCTTGCAAATTATTAATAAAACCTGTACACATGAACCTTAATATATTTATTTTGAAGCAAATCAGGCAGATTTCAGGGCAGAGAGAGAACAAATTGGAATGAGAGCAGTTTAAATTGGATAAACAGTCAGACTATCAGAATATCACGGACAATCAAATACTACCATCTAGTGGTAGTTGATGAAATATACAAATGAAATTTTGTTTATGCCAGAGGGGCTAGTATGGAATGGAATGGAGTGGAGTGGAGTAGAGTAGAAAAGAGTAGAATGGAATGGAATGGAATATTCTTGATTGGCCAAGTGTGATTGGACACAAATAATTTATCTCTGGTGCATAAGTTCTTAGTATATATAAATACAAACAGAAAGT